CTTGTGGCAAGTCCTCAGCTCTTTTTCTTTAGTTACTTTTCAGATAAGATATCCTCTTTTTGCTCTGACCCTCCTACCTATGCCTCCAATTTAGCTGAGATTACAGGTGTGCTCCATCATGCCTGGCTTCCTTCTTACTCTCCTCCTATACTTTCTCCTCATTCTTTTCCTACTTCTACACATCTTCTCTACTCTCTGTCTCTGTCTCTGACTCTCTCTTTCTCTGTCTGTCTCTCTCTCTCCCATATGCTCTTTTCTCTTTCCAGACTGCAAATGTGAGACTGGGATATCCAAGCCAAGAAGCTTTCAAATCCAAATTAAACAAATTGAAGGAAACCGTTCTATTCCTTCATGTACATAATCAGAGGTTTCTGAAGATACTGCCCATGAGTCAAGCTGAGAGACAGTTAAAACTACCCCAACCCTGGTTTTCTCTGTTCTGATGCAGTCTTTGAATGGCCCATGTATTTGAAACAGTTTAGGGTATACCCAAAGGCTGAGACCTTAGACATGTTTTTAGCTAGGGTGAAGTAGTCCACACAATTCAGCTGCACAGAATCCAAGGGACAATGCACACGGACATTACAAACATGAGCAAATCGGGCTTTTAGGGTTCAAACTGACTAATGTGAGGACCATCTTCTCTCTCCCAAATCCAGGCAAGAGACAGTCAGGAAACATGTGAGCACTGGAGTCAAGGGAGGCAGTGCCTCTGCTCTGCTGGAGGCTGGGGTTTGGTCTCTAGGTGTCAGGAGGGACTTCAGCCCATTATGGGCAGAGGAGGGAGGAATTCAGTCCCTGCGTGCCATGCAGGGCTCTTGGCTGAAGCACCTGAGGATACCAGAGGTGCAGCAACAGTAGATGCCAGAGGGAGATCAGTGCATCCTGGAGACCTGGGTGGTGCTGCAGCCTCACAGCTGCCTGTGATGAAAGGGAGACTGGACTGCCTGGAGCACTGTGTCTTATGTACTGCACACCGCGGGCCTTCCATGCAGCCCTCCCCCTGCCTTTGCCCATCCACCTGCTTGAGGTTCACTCCAAGTGTGGAGTGTGTGTTGGGGACCTCCTTGGTGCTATTTCTTAATGGTGATGTGTGTGGAAGACCCAGTTTCCCAGAGAACTCACCTGGCACAGGCTTTGCAGACAGCAGACAAGTTCATGGCTGGCTCAGGTCACTCCTTGAGTTCTTCAGAGTCTGGCTAATCAGGACAGCACTGTCTGAGAAGGTGAAGATGAAACCAGATATTGCAGCCCTGCCAATGAGTGCTGGGTGAGGACAACTGAAACTTAAACTACACCCAATTCTTGCTGAATTAACCAGTGAAGTTTTGGAATTTTTTTAAATTAATCAGAAAAGTGGAGTATGTGGGATGAGGAAGGAGAAAAGTTCAGTCCTCCACAACAGTTTGTCAACTTAAAACCAAAGTGCAAGAACACCTCCAAGGAATACTTGTATTTATTTGGGAATAGCAGAGCACTGCAATGGGAGTGCTCTTGTTGTGCAGTATAAGAGAATTGAAAGAAGTGGAGGCAATGGATGGTAGGATTGTTTTAACACAAGGTAAATTTCTTTTTAACTCACACATAATTATAGAAATATTGGATGTATTAATCAGGTCACACGATGTTTGCCTACATGTATACATTGTCTATATTTGTGTAGTGTATAAATCTCCTTAAACATTTAACACTATGTTATGATATAAAGTTTCAAAATCCTTTCTTCTAGTTTTTTATATTATTTTTATTTATAATCACCCTGATCATCCCACTGTGCAGTAGTACTACAGAACTTCTCCCGTCTACCTCTAACTTGGTACCCAGTGATCAACTTTTCCCCATCCCTTCCACTTCAAGGGGAAGGATTTTTTTTTTGAGCTAGTAGTGATTGAATTCAGGGTCTCTAAGTGCTCTACCGTTTGTCACACACTCTCAGTCCTTTTGTTTTTATTTGGTTTTTAAGATAAGTCTCTCTGACTTTATCAGGGCTACCTTCACCTCTTACCTCTGCCATCCAAGGAACTGGGATTACAGATATGCCCCACCCCTCCCTACATTAGTAACATTTAAAAGAGAAATAAGTTTTCTTGGAAAGGCAATTATTTCTTTCCATTCCAAGATGTCCAAGGTCTCACAAAATTGAAGTTGACAGACTTTAGTGTTTGAGGTGAGTAGAGAGGGCTTGTCCATAATTGCAACAATAGTGGTAAAACTAGGATACACCTGATGAATATCCAGTGTCTGTCTGTGGTGTCTCCAGGGGTGAACACTGGGACATAACTAGTGATTTTCCTTCAGTGCCTCTTGGATCTACACTAGACAACAACATCAGCAGGGTCACCTTCTCCTTCCCTCCACTGTGCTTCAGAATGTTGGGGGAAACAATCCCTGCCCCATGGAGCAGGGGAGAGCAGCATTCAACAGCTGAACCCCAGGCTATGAATCCTGCAACAGCAGTGACTGGGTGTCTTCCAGCTGCATCGCCCTCTCCTCCCCACTTTTCTGGCATTTCCCAGAGTGAGAGGGAAACAGAAACTACAGCTGTGGCCTGACACAACACTTCTCTGATTAGGGAGTGGGTGGTGAGTCATTAAGTTCTGGATATTTTGAGCTTCTTGGATCTTTTTTTTTCATCCTCCCATTTCTTTGAAATAGTGATATGCTCTTTGCTCTCTATTCTGTTTCTCCAGCAAAAGTCCTCCTCTTCACAATGATAAAGAATGTAGAGAAAGCTGTAATTTCTAGAGCAGGGAACTCTGAGGGAAAACAGGTATGTAAACCTAGAAACAGAGCTGTTAACTGCACATAGCTCCTTCCCTGGCCTGGACATCTTGACCCGGGGATGACACCCAACTGTCCTTCCCAAGTGAGCTTCTCCTTACTCTTGGGGAAGTGACTGGACTAGTCATTTGCTCAATACAGAGGAATTTAATTTGTATTGGAAGCTTCTGCTACAGGCAAGGAAGGCTAAAGAACTGTTCATTTCAATGACAAAAGAAAGACTTGCTTTTCTTTCTCTGACGTGGAGTGTTTGTTCAATATACATTTCATACAAGTTCTCTCCATTATGGACACTTTGACATGCTGCTACAGCCCTTTAGGATTGGAGTTTATAAGCACTGATAGTTTAAGTTTGAACTTGCAGAAAAACCTTGTTTTTCAAACTATCATTTTCACAGAACTTTACCCAGGCAATGTTCAAAACTTGTCTCTTGCTGGGAGTTTGGCTCCTTAAAAGAGGAGGAAATAATTCCTTACTATGTTACCTGTTGGCTTTGGCACCAACTTTTAAGTTAGATACTGCTCTTCTTCCTCAAGGAATAAGGCTATGATTTAAAAATAACAGGCCAGTTTTCAATGTACCTTATCATGATCATTAGTGTGTATATCCAATGTTAAATGTCACTAGTGAAACCAGTGGGCACTGTTGGAGAGCTCTATTCTTTAGAAACAAGGGAAACTCCTTAGTTTTGGTGGGGAAGATACGATAGAAAAAGTATTAAGGTAGATATCAAGTCATCCATAATATGATCTGGACCAGCAGCACTATGGTGTGGAAATTGGTAAGTGAATTAATTACACTGGGTCGGATGGTTTTTTAAATTAATTTAAAATGAGTAGTATTGATAAAAAAAGAATTATTCCCTCCTACTATGAGATTTCCTATGAGCTTCTACAACTTGAGAGGCTATTCTAGAACATTGCTAAACTGATGCTCAGCCAATGTGCTGGTACCTTCTGCAGGTCACGTCAAGTCTAGAAACACATCCAAGCAGCACAAGTCCATATCTGACATGGGAAGTTCAGAAAAATAAAACTCTCCAAGGAATAGCGAAGAAGTAAAGGCTAACAGTTATTTTATTCTGTATACATAAATATATTCTTCTGTAAATCATATTCTAAAAAAAGAATTGAAAAACAAATGTCCCATAAAACAACTTAAATGGAAGTTTTTTTTACACATGTAAGCAAGTAGTTAAAAGAGAGACAAGGTAGAGCTCTGTGTAGTGTTCCTATAATTTTGAAAACATATTTTACTGAAGTTAAAAAAATAAAGAAGCAGAAAACAAAAATATGTAACAAAGCTATGTTTCAGTTATAATTTTTAATTTCCTGAGGGAAATTCAGAGACCCTCCTTTATAGACTTTTAACTACTGAAGAAAATAATAGCAAAGTAATACAGTTACACGTTCAAAAGTGTTTTTATAACAAAAAAATACTAAGAGATACTTTATAATGCTTTATTGAAAAAAAAATCAGCAGACTTTCACATGCAGCCACAAATAATTAAATTTAACACCATAGCAAGCTTAAAACTAAATGGGCCCTATTGGATTTTTGCCACATAATATAATATCCTTACAGGTTCTAAGGGATCATAAACATGTAACCCCAAAGTATTAAGTCCAGCATAACTTGTTTCATTAAAAATGTCCCATTTAAGTTATACCCTTGGGGAGGTGAAGGAAAAAGAAAAGGATTTTTCTTTAGCCCATGTGCCTATGACAATTTCCATGTTGGTATTTCCCATTCATCTTCTAAAGCATCTCTACTTCATCAGAACATCATTTGTTTTCAGCTTGGAACTTCTCTACATAGATGGTTGACTGACATTGCTGAGGAGTTGGCCATTGACCATGAATAGTGGCCTCAACTCACCTGAGAAACACAATTGGTGTCTATGACAGCTTCCTGTGATAGCACATGCCCACCAGTAAGAGTGACGCCCACCTGAACCTAGATCTTGGTCAAAACCCATCTGATGAGCCCATGTGGTTAACATTCCCTTTGTAACTTGTAATACTCTGAGACAAATATGGGAAGTTAGACAGGAGGTATTAGGACTATTAAGATGTCTGTTGTCCTGAGTTTTATAGTTTCTTGTTCTTTGTTGTCTTCAATAAAAAAAGAGTAAGAAAAGCAAGCTGTGATGTTCAGCACTTTAGAGTATGACACATGGATCATCTGATGAGTTAGTATTAGACTGTAGGAGATATACGTGCTGATTTTGAAGTCTTCTGATCTGTTCTTCATGGATCGCTTTGATTCTTTCAGCTTCTTTCTAATGGGTGATAAATATAAACTATAAATCTTTGCAAAAAAATAACAACCAGTTTCTTTCTGACCACCTAAATCATTGACTTGTTCTTACTTATTTTAATCTACAGTGGCAATGGACACCTCTCATTCATACCTGTACATCCAGAAACTTCTGTAATCCCCCACCTTTCTCCAGCTCCAGATACATCATGTCTCAATCCCTGAAATGTTTGTGACACCAGAACTCTATTCCAAGGTTCCCTCTCCTTTGTACAACACAATTTATTTGAGAAATCTTAGTCACATCTTTACTTCAATTCTCACTTACACATAAGAGAATGCTAGATGCATTTTTAAGAGAAGAGGTCTAGGTGACATCCAAAACAGAGTGTCTAGGTGACATTCAAAGTCATGTGAGGTGTCTGAGCCTTAGAGGATGGATATGATTCAGCTCACCTCACCTTTGGGAGAAGTAGAAGGAAAGATCAAGGAGACCAAAACTCACAAGTTGCCCACATTGCTCTTCAGAAAAGAACAGACAATAATGCCTGCAGGTAGACTGGTAGGCAGTGGAAGTGTTGCCTCACTCATAAAGGTGCTTGCATAGCAGCACCATACCAGGTATGCAGCAGAGGTGACACAGGAGATCCCGTGGGAAGGCAGTTTTGACCATTTGCTAGACTGGGTGATATTAGTATTTAGTGAATCCTCTGAATGTCACTCATTCATCTGAAAACTGGGGGTGCAATGCTTCTGCTTCACAGTGATTAAAGAGAGGAGAATGCACAGGGCATTGGACAATGGGAAATCTAAACTACTGCTGACTGAGTGCTGACCCAAAGTGCTGATGACATGAAAGGACTGGATGAAACAAATTGCAAGTTAAAGGCCGTCAGCGCAGAGATGACCAAGGGAAGGACACCAGCAAAGACAGTGACATGAAACTGATTTAACAAGGTATCTATGCTCAAGGCACAAGATTGTACAGTGATGTTAACATGCTAACAGAAAAGACTACTGTGGTGCAGAAATGCCTTAGTTTTATTTAATAATTTATTGTGATTACTTTGTGCACACATCACTGTGAACACAACCATCAGTGCACTTAGTTCTGATAATAACCTTAAAAATTACGTATCACCACTGTCTCCATTCTACACAAGAGGAAAGAAAGCAAGACACAGCAGGAAAACCCTATGTTTGGTAAAAGATGTTATTTGGATTCACACCCAGCAGTCTGGCTATAGAGTCCTTGCTCTGAGTCACAACATTAGACTTTCTCTTTCCCTTTGCTAGTGGTTCAGCTTTTGTCCTTATATGCAAGGGAGATTGAGTAAAGTCCTGATGGGAAACAACTGATAAATACCCGAATCCATTGCTCCTGGGCCCTCTGCTGCTGTGCCAGAAAGTTTACTCTGTTTATCTCCATTTGCCTCACTTGCTGCTGATGGAGTCTCCTTTTCTCTTCCATCTGTTGCTGATTGTACCTGCAAATTGCCTCCAACCTTTGTACTTCAGGCTTTGCAGCCTCCACTCTCACACGTTCCGCTAAGGAGAAAGAAGAAAAGACAAATATCTTCAGCATTATTATGTCCCATCTCTATGAGCCCCCATTCTTGTTTGTTATTGTTCCAACTCAACAGATAAATTCTCTGGGGTTGTTTTTTCTCTTCCAGGTAACCATACTGCAGCTGACGCCATACTCAGATATGACCTTGAGCTCAGAAGCATCTTTGCCATTCTTGCTCAAGTTTAGTGTCTTAGATGGACCAGGACAGACTAATTTTAAATTTGTAGAACTTTCTTGTCTTTCTTACACAGCTTTCATTTTCTTCTCACCTTCCTTCTCCTTTTCCTTGGTTGTGAGAGCCTGGTCTGTCTGTAGAATCGCTTCACTCACAGACTCCTTGGACTTTAGGTATTTCTGTAGAGCTTCCTCAGCCTATGAACCCCAAAACATACAGTAAGAATTGAAAAATGGTAATTAACAACACTGTAAACATCTATACTTCCTTTTTCTTCCCAGTGAGTGTATTTTCCTCCCAGGAGGTGCTCAGCCTGTTCCTGAGCTGTGGAACTGTCCACTAAGCCTCTCCTGTTGCAGGTGTGGGCATGATGCTGGGCTGGACAATCAGAGGTCCTAAGGCCACTGGATGCAATGGACCTGCTCACAGGTGGAAAAAATTCTGCAACTTGGGAGCTTTGAAGACTAACATGGATGTTGAGGAAGAGACACTCTCTCTCCTAAGACACAGGGCAATCAAGACTAGTTAAACTTGCACAGTGTGGTTTTGTCTGTGTTGCCATGCAGAGTGGGGTTGCTTGAAATTGTCAGAAAAACAAAACAAAACAATGAAGTAGGGGGTTGGAAAGAAAAAGAAGAAAAACTAATGACATTGCTTGAGCTCTTGAACGTATCTCTACTTGAAATTAAATTAAAGCCTTTCACTTTTAGTTTATATAAGCTAATCAATCATTGCTTCTTAGATTAGTTTCAATTATTGGTATTCTTTCCTGTGTAGCTCAAAAGGTCCTTTGTGGCTTTATGAGCATTGATGGCTGCAATAAAAGTCTGGTGATTACAGTCATGGTTCAGTTTAATCCCACAGCTCTGTTAACATGTAAATCCTGTGCTACAGCATTAGTTCAGTCACATGATTTTCCCATGTGTGTTCATTCAGAGAGAAAGTAACTCCTTGGCACAGTCATAAGCTACAAAAACATCATCTCTGTGCCTGTGTACCTGTCTTTCTTCTGACATCAATGGCCTTTCAAAATGGCCTCAGCTGTATCCCATAACTGATTGATAACACTGGGATACCTGGATTCCTTTCCTGGGCTGCTGATAGTACTTTGCCTTCAACTCTTCTGTCTTATGAAGGAAGAGGGTGTGACCTCCAGGCTTAGAATAAATCCCCTGCTTCACAGCTTCTTCTAGAGGACCAAAAATATCCTGAAGTAAGGCTGAGCAACGATCTGAAGAAGTGTCCAAGTTCTGCTTACAAATGTCATTTTGCTTAGCATGTAGCTGAGCCTTAAAGGAACAAAATGATGGGGGTATTAGCAACACAGCAGTATTTCTGGACATTTTTTGCAGAAAGAATCTACATTTTTTTTCTAGAAACTGAGGAATATAACTAAGTCTATATCCATCTCCCAAAAACTGAAAAAGTTCCAGGGATGATACATTTTGAAAAATGACATTTATATTTGGTTTAGAAATTTCATGAAACTGCATCCTTGAGTTGTTATTTCTGCTATAGATGTGATCTTATGAGCATAGACTTCTAGCCTCATACCCCAATTTTAAATAAAACTTAATGTTTTATAGCATTTTTTGCTTCATTGATTTTTCTACCTTTGTTGTGAAGATAGAATTGAATAATTAGCTGACATGATACCAGCTTACTCTATCACTAATGAACTTATCAAATTTTAGTATATACAAATGGCAATTTTACTGTTTGATTAATAAAAATTAAAATTAAAGTTAATACCTTGTAAATATGAGTTTTCAAGGAAATAAGATTGATTTGAGTTTAGCCTATGGGATAGCAGGGTGAAAGTGAGAACGATTTGACTGTGTGAAAACTTCAGAATCTATAGGGCCCAGAATACTTGTTTGCTGGTTTTCAGGATAAAAGTGATAAGATGGCATATAAGTGAATATTATCATTTTCCAGCCTAGTAGGAATTGCTTTATAAAATTAGTCTTATTTTACCATACAGCAATATTTTGCCTGCTACCAAACCTAATACCAAGAAAATAGAACAAAAAATAATTACTTCTAATTCTTTCTGGAAACTTTGGTCCTCATCTTTGAAAGAATTCTTCCTGAAGATTTCTATGGCCTCTCTCTCACAGGCCCTTTGCAGGTCCAGCAGCTCTTGGAGGGTTTCTGTGGGTAACTGTACCTTCTGATCCATCTTCTGCTCATAGTGGTCCATGGCCTTTTGCACCACAACTGTGTTCTCTACCTGGACCAAGGCTGGACTGCATTCTCCATGCAGGGCAGATCCCCACTGTTGATGGCATTGACGTAGGTTAGCACCAGGTTCTCCAGACCTATACAAAGAGAAGCCATGCTTTTGTTATTTGCAGAGAAAGAGTCAGTGATGTATACTTCTGAGAATATTAACAATGCATTGCCTGAAACTTTTCAGTATTCTGGGTAGTATTCAAATTGCAAGATAAGTTTCATTGTGATAATATTTGATTAAACAGTCATGTCTTTCCTTCTTTGGGAGAAGAGACAGTGCTCAAAGAAGAACAAAGGGGAAATCTCAAGATGTATGAGATTGCCCACATTTCACCCTTCTCCATGGAGAACTAAGGAGGTGATTACAAAAGTCATGCATATATAAACTAACAGGAGCAAAAACAAAAACCACATGATCATCTCAATAGATGCAGAAAAAGACTTTGATAAATTTCAACATACTTTCACAATAAAAGCTCTGATGAAATTAAGAATAGAAAGAATGTACTTCAACAGAATAAAGGCTATATAAGACAAGCCTATATCCAACAGCATAGAAATGGGGAAAAATCTGACAACATTCCCTTTAATTTCAGGAATAAGACAAGGGTGTTCACTCTCTCCTGTTATTCAACATAGTACTGGAATTCCTAGCCAGAGAAATAAGACAGGAAGAAGAAATTCAAATTGAAAAGGAAGTAGTCAAAGTATCCCTATCTGCAGACAACATGATCTTATACCTAAAATATCCAAAAAACTCCAAGACACCATGAACAGTTTCACCAAAGTTGCAGGATACAAAGTTAATCTACAAAAATCAGTAGCCTATCTATATACCAATAATGAACAGACTGAGAAAGAATATAGGAAAATCATTCCATTTACAATAGCCTCAAAAAACAAAATACTTTGGGATAAATTTAACAAAAGATGTGAAAGATCTTTAGGCATAGGCAATGACTTCCTCAATAGAATTCAAATGGCTCAGCAACTAAGAGAGAGAATTGACAAATGGGACTACATGAAATTACAAAGCTTCTGCACAAAAAAGAAATGGTTTCTAAATTGAAGAGGCTTCCCACAGAATGGGAGAACATCTTTGCCAGCTATACATCTGAAAAGGGTTTGATAACCAGAATATACAGGTAGTTCAAAAAACTAAACTCCCCAAAATTCAATGACCCAGTGAAGAAATGGGCAAAAGAACTGAACAGAGCTTTCTCAAAGGAAGAAGCCCAAATGGCTGAAAAACATGAAAAAATGCTCAATATCTTTGGCCATAAAGACAAAGAAATCAAAACCATGTTATGATTCCACTTCACTCCTGCTAGAATGGCTACTATCAAGAACACAAACAATAGAAATGTTGGCAAGGATGTGGAGAAAAAGAATCCTCATACACTGCTGGTAGAAAAGTAAATTAGTACAAAACAGTATGAAGGGTCCTCAAAAAAACTAAAAGCAGAACCACCATAAGATCTAGCAATTTCACTCTTAGTGAAATTATATATCTGAAGGAATATAAGTCAGGTTACAACAAAGGTACCTGCACAGCTATGTTTATTGAAGCATTATTCACAATAGCTAAGCTATGGAAACAGCCAAAATGCCCCACTACTGAAGAATGGATTAAGAAAATATGGTACTTACACACAATGGAATTTTATTCACCCACAAAGAAGAATGAAATTTTTTCATTTGCAGATAAATGGATGGGCTGGAAAACATCATCTTAAGTGAAGTTAGCCAGGCTCAGAAAGCCAAAAGCTGCATGTTTTCTCTTATATGCAGAATATAGACCTAATACAAATGTAGTAATATTATGAAAACAGGACAGGCCAAGGGAGGTCACAAACGAGATGGGGAGGGTAAAAGAAGAAAGTTAAGGTGAATATAGGTGATGTAGTCTAGATACAAGAAAGAATATAGAATTTTTACACTGGTTGAAACACCCATAAGAAAGAGATTAGAGTAGAAAGAAGAAAAATAGAGGAAATGAACCAAATCAGGTTATAATACATATATAGATCAAAGTGCCACAAGGAAACTCCCTGTGTAGCTATCTTAAACAAGCAAAAGTATGATTTCTTTTGCAAAATCAGAGAAAAAGAAGGTGGAACAGGTCCTCCCTTGGGTGGGGGGGGGGGATAACTACCAGTGAGAGTGGGAAGGACGACATGGGGAAAGGGTTTAAGAAGGTGGATATAGGGAAATACTGTGTAAACATGAATGTAAATGGAAAAAAATATCCCTGTTGAAACTATTTCTTGAATGGGAGTGGATAAAGGAGAATGGTGGTGGTGGTAAATTCAAGTATGATATAGTTAATATTACTGTAAGAACCTTTGTAAATACTACAATGTACCCTTACTTAGCACAACATAAAGCAGAATAATAAAACATGTATATTCATTTGTTCAGAAGGCTAAAGGCCTTTGCCTCTTTAATCTTCCCTTCTTTCCCTCTTCCTCAGCTCTTCATTTTCTTCAGAATTTCCCTTTCTCCCTATTTTATTCTGGTGAGGGTGGTATGAAATATACTCTGTCCTGTAAAAGGGAAAATTGAAGAATTTAGTCAAGTATCCTCATTATTTGTTGGAACTCCCCTGTTTTACTTATCAGTTTACAGAGAGGGAGGCAAATTCCCTCTAGAATAGAAGAATTATTTAATGAGTTCTGAGACACAAAGGGTTTTCAGAAAAAAATAAAGCAAGAAATTTGCTTAGACATCTTGTAGATTCTAGACAATTTGGGTCTTAGTTCAATATTTATATTAATCAATTTCTATTTCTAAAGGGAACTTGTGTACTTTGCTTACCTTAAGTCTGTGACATATAATAAGAGTGTACTATATTTGTTGAACAAATTTTGCCAACCTGTGTGGATCACTTATGGATAAAACTTCTTTAACTTGATCTTACTTTTATTATGGTCCTTTGAAGGCATTACTAAAAGCAACACTACAAATATATTTAATATCCACTATAACTTTATAAACCTGGTACCTATGATTTTCATGGTGGTAATTCCTTATGCATTCATCAACACTGCTATTACAAGGAGATTCCTGTTTCTCTCTTTCTTTACACTCAGCTGGAAGAAAATTCTTAAAAGGAATTCACGAGGGCCATTGACTTTGATGTCTCCTGGAAGAGTCTTGGTCTTGGAATGACTGAAGATGTAGGAACAAAACTCTGACACTTGCTGCACAAATTCAGGATCCAGCTCATCATCATACAGTGTTTCAAGCTGGGCAAGCTTCTTCCAGTGAGTGGGTGAATCAAAGATAAAGCATTTTTTTACTGGAGAGAATTTCTGTATACACAGATGGGGCAAGTTGAAATTTTGAATTTTTTGATTTTTACCTGGAAAAGGAAAAATAGGATTTACTTAGTATAGAATTTACATTCACTTTAATCTATTGACATTAAATAAATTTCCTTTCTCCTGATGTTACTTAGTTTATTGTGTTTATAAGCCTCAGAGAAAGGAAAAAAGGAAAGAAATTTACTTCAAGAACAGAGGAATAGTACAATTTAATATTGAATTTATTAGTTCATTCTAAATTGATAATATTATTTATTTTGTAGGAGATCTGGATGGGTAAATATGGAAAATGATACATTTAGCTGCCTACTTAAATGAGGTCATTTCTTGGGTCACTTTTCTCTCTCTTTCCAAAACTGAAGAGCTATTACCTGGTTTCAGCCTCAGTGAATTCTCCAGGTATTTATCTGCTGTGATGAGATGTCCATCTGTTTCCAGGCCTAGGTAGAAATCTCACAGGTCCATACTAGGTCTGGAAAGAAGCTTGCAAAGTCAGCATCATCTTCAATCCCATAAAAGTCAGGGGAGTTTCTTGTCCTGAGCAGATCTGTCAGCTCTGTCATGTTGCTAAGATGTAATTGAGGAAAACTGGAAGAAGTAGAACTGCATCTTACCCATGTTGTACCCCAGGCTTCCCTAAACTTTTACTTCCCTGTACCACTTAGCCAACTCGACATTTTCTCATCAGCACATGAGGGCTAATGTGTACTTCCTCCATTTTCATTTATATAATTCACAAGGTCTTACAGATGTACTGCTAGTGAGTTTTCTCTAGCTTTGATGCCATTCTGGACCACAGAAGGATACTGCAGCAGGTCAGTAGCTCCCTGTTCAATTTTGTTCATGGTGTTGTAAATAAAAGTGCTGCTCAGAAGGATTGCCAGTGCGAAGATTTTGGTGCCAATCTTCTCATCAACCTAGGAGCCAGAAGATAAGTCATGTTCCAAGCATTCCCAGTGAACAATAATTAAAAATAGGATCTTGACCTACAAGTCTGAAATAACAAAAATGACCATATGGATCTTCCTTCCTTCCTTCCTTCTTTCCTTCCTTTTTTCTCTCTCTTTCTCTCTGTCTCTCTCTTTATCACTTTCTCTCTCTTACTCATCCTTTCTTTGGTGATACTGGGGTTTAACTCAGGCCATGGTGTTTTCTGGGCAACTCTGCTGCTACTTAAGCAACACCTCCAGCCCTTCCTGTAGGATATTTTTCAGATGCAGATTTATACCTTTTTGCCTGGGTCTGCCTTGGACTACAATGTTTCTATATATGCTTTGCTTATAGCTAGGATTACAGGTATGCACCACCATGTCTGGCTTATTAGGTAAGAGGTGTTCTCACTAACTTTTTGCCCAGATTGGCTTTGAACCTGATCTCTACCTCCTGAGTAGCTGGTATTATAGGCATGGGCCACTTTGACTGTCCATACAGACAAACTTTGTATAGTTTGCTAATTGTAATTTTATAGTGATCCATACATTGTTCACACTCTTGTCTCTCTTACAAATATTAGATATTTGCAACATGCATAGTCAAACTAATGGAGAAACTGGAATACTTTAAAAAAAGTCTTCCAGGAGCTAAAACAAAATTGGCCTAAATACTCAATACATATATCTATTTTATTGAATAATTATTGTTGGAGCCCGGAGTGGGACCCTGCCTGTGTGAGTTGGCATTTGGCCTTGTAGAAAACTCCAAGGAACTGAGGCAAAGGCCTCAGAACCAGACTGTGCCTGTGTGATTTGGCATGTGGCCTTGTGAGAAAGCCAGACGTCCAGAAAAACAATATTCAAGGTTCCCAGATGGCTTTGTGTCCTTCAGATGTAAATAAGAAGGTTAGTGTCCTTCAGATGTAAATAAGAAGGTTAATAAGAACTGTGCTTCCCTGTGCTAATGTAAATTGACATGTAATACTTGGCATGCTTTTTCTGACCAAATGCTCTCTGTGTAAAAGGAGTTTATAAAAGCAGCTGTCTGCTTCATTAAAGTGGCTATTGAGCAGGACTCAGTAGTCCCCTCATCTTATCTGGCTTCAGTCACCCAGGTTCCGCTGGCAAACGGCAACAATTAATATGCACAAACAGTTTACATCACCAGTCTTATTCCCAAAAAATGAAGAGAGGTCAGTTTATATTACTCTCTATATCTTGTAGGGAAGGAAACTCAAGATCAAATTCTGGCTTACCATATTTGCATCTTGTTCAATGAAAAGTAAAAGAAAAAAAGAACCAAAAATATAGAAATGATGGCTATTCAAGAGAAAGATCCAGTAATGAAAAAGAACCAGCTCATCCCAGCACCTAAGAGCCAACTGTGCACATCTTTTCCTATGTCTGAGTTTCTGTATTCGCTGTGGCAGCTTAAGATGAGCTAAAATGGGAGTCTTTAGGGAATGGTCAAGTGGTGGAAACCAGGGCATTTTTCTCAGGGATCTGGATGTTAAATGTTTACCAACACACAACTGGAAAATACTCATGGGTCTATTGTTCAAATAACAAGTTGAGCAAAACTAGAAAATTGATAATAAACTTGGGGAGACTTACTTTCCTTGTCAAAATCAGTGCAGCCTTTAATTGAATACAAGTTCATCTGACAGACAACCATTATTAACACACATTTTATTCCCTGCAGGATCAGGTCTGTAACAGTGATTTTATTTGCATCTTCATTGTGTATCTAGACTACTAAGCTTACCATCACTGTAGTCTTACCAAAACTGACTCTGCCTTATAAATATGTTTTCTCAGTTCAGGCTTCCAAACTCTATTAAAAATAGAAATGAAAAAAGTGGAGCATGCTTGGTCAGTGTAAGCACAAATTTGGAAAACAAAAAACACAAAACAAAACATTCCCTGAATAAGAGTGTTCAGAGGCGAGGCAGTTAGTCCATACAGAAAACCTCACTTTACCTTCTCCACATCTCCCAGGCCCTCAGTGTCAAGCAGAACTAGGGTCTGGTCTGGCTTCTTAGGATGAGGCACACACAACATCCAGATTCCCTTGGTGTGAGACTGCACTGTGGATCCTACAGAAAAGCCTGCAAAGGAGAGTGGAGAGGTTATAATAGAGGGATGGCTCTGGAAATAAAGCATTTTTTGGTAATTAAACTAGAGTTTAAGAAAAGCAAGATGAAGAGACAGGAGACAGTAGAAAATACAAGTAATGATCCAAGTTACAGTAGAGATATGAGTAAATTTTCAAATACCCTGAGTTAGACTTGAGATTTTCAAAGAATAGTATCACACTACTAAAATTTCAATAGTTTGATATATGGAAATTATTTCATTGTTGTCTTTCTCCTTATGAGGGGAACATATTATGCTTTTCCTAGGGAGATGTTAAGGGAAACAAAAGAGATGATGTCAGGGACAGAAAACTGCCTGCTATCCCTCAGAAAATAGGAAGAGTAGTTGTGGCCCAAGCACTGGTTTTCATTATTTATTTGGTCTCTAACTTTCTTTTCTCATATCCCTGTGCTGGATACTGACAGTATGGGTGGACAGAAGGGGATAATCCAACTTTGCTGGAGACACTCACCCCTTTTCTGCCCAGCCAGCTTGTTCACTAAGTAGGATTTGCCCGTGTGGTAGAGGCACACAATAGCCACCACCACGACAGGCTGCATGATGCCAGACAGGATGTCCAGGGCCTCCTGGTTGACCACCAGCTGCTCTTCACTGTTCTCAATGAGGCACAAGGGTTCTGGCATGTGGATCTCTAGGGCCATGACCAAGATTTGTTGCTTTCTCTGCAATGGAAGAGATGGGATATGATGGAATTTCTAGTGTTTAAGGAAAGACATTTTTCCTGCTGGTCCTGGGCACGTACCATTACTCAGCATAACATATGTTTTTAAAGAAATAAAAAAATTAAAATAAAAGAAGCAGCAAAGAAAAACAGCTCTTAGCTCCTTCATTGGCCTTCCGTTGGCTTCCCTTCTGGTTCTTAAATATTTGATGTACATAGAAAACACCACTTCCAGAGTCTAATCTACTGATATTTTTAATCTAATTCATTCCATTGGTGTTTGGATTACTTATGATTTATTTTTGTTTTTAGTGGTACCTTAGTGCCCTACACTTGGGGCACTAAGTGTAGGGTGTTCCACTTGCTACACTTGAGCCATGTCCCCAGTCCTTTTCACTTTGGTTTTGAATAGAGTATCATGTTTATATCCATGATGGCCTAGACCCCATTCTTGCTTCAGCTTGAAGTGTAGCTAGGGTGACAGGAGCATGCCACTATGCCCTGTTCTTTTATTGGTTGAGATGGGGTTCTTGAACTGTTTGTTGAGGCTGGGCTTGCACTGCAATCCTCCCAATTTTAGCTTCTCGAGTAGCTGGGATTATAACCATAAACCACTGCACCCAACTGGCTTTTTATTTTTACCTCCTGAAATCTGTGATTCATTCTTTATGGCCATTACTTGTTACATTAAACTCATTGCTTTTCTCTTTTGTTCAGTTAGGTCTATATCCAGGCAAACTGCATGGTATTAAATATTGCCAGCAAACTGTGTAGCATGATCTAACTAATCACAGGTGTTTACTTCTTAGAGTCATGCTCTAAAAAGTATTGTTATATAGTTGTTAATGCCCTTTATTAACTCAAATTTCAAAGAATGGGTAAACTAGTGAAAAAAACATCCTTTGGTGGTGTTTACCTACTCATTTTACTTCTAACCTTCGATTCCTATAACCTGAGAATCCCTAGAAAAACAGTTTTAAGACAGATAAATAAAAATAGAAAATGCTTGGGCAGATGGTAGGAGATCCATTCACAAATATCATAGCACCAGGACATAAGAGTGAGGAAATGCCTGGTGCAAACCTGACCCCTAAAGAGATGACAATACAATGAATTTAGAGGCTCCAGTGCCAAGTGTCTGTTCATTATAATCCATTTCTAATGCAACATGGCTCCTTATGTCAATTCTGATTTCCTTATTTTTATAAAGTAGGAACTAGAATCGATTTTGGATTATAAAGATGTGAGAACCTTGCAGTGACAATAATTAGCTAGAAAGACAAAGATGAGCAAAATCTATAAGCAGACATGGGGGTCTTATAAAGTGTTTTGCTTTGATGTCACTATTGGGGAGGGAACTAATTTGTCTTCAGTTTTTAAATTCATCTCGAATAACATTAGCACCATTTATCCATATTAATAATAATATTTTACACATCACCACATGGTTCTGAAGAGCATCTTTAATGCTTTTAGAAGTGCCAGCTCTCTAACTCTGTTTTGCATACTAATGTGTTTGAGTCACATACATACTCTTACTCTGCCATTCGTAACTCAATCTGTGATACACATTCAGGCTGCATCTTCTGTGACTCAGAGCCCTATAACTTTTGTAAGTAAAAAATAATGCAAGTATGGAACAAAACCCATATGAAAATGCACATTTGTCCTTGTGGTAAGCTAGGCTTGATTTCCAATCCCAGCCCTGCAACTAGCTAACTGTATATTATTGGCATTTCATTCAACATTTCAGTCTAGTCTTGAAAAATGGAAGTAAATAAATATGTATTTATATCAGTGTACCTGCTGGCTTAGAAGATAAGGGCTTCAGGAGAAAAGTACAAAGAAGAAAGCTGATAAGAAACGTAAGAGAAAATGCTCGGAAGTGTAGTTATGGAGTTTTTCGGAAAAAAAAAAATCTCTTTTCAACCACATGAGTTTAGCTTAGGTTTTATGTTCTGTTGTTGTTATTTGCTTTTGCTTTCTTTTGTGTAGCTTTGTGTTTGTGTTTGGAGGAAAAGAAAAAAGTGTTTATCAAGGAGATTGATGGAAATCTATTAAGTATGAGGTGCATGAAGCACCTTTTCCAATAGGAAAAGGAGAACAGGTACTAGAGAAAAGGCTAGATCAAAAAGAATTAACCTAGAAGGTAACACCCATGCACAGGAAATCAATGTGAGTCAATGCCCTGTATAGCTATCCTTATCTCAACCAGCAAAAACCCTTGTTCCTTCCTATTATTGCTTATACTCTCTCTACAACAAAATTAGAAATAAGGGCAAAATAGTTTCTGCTGGGTATTGAGGGGGAGAGGGAGGGGGTGGAGTGGGTGGTAAGGGAGGGGGTGGGGGCAGGGGGGAGAAATGACCCAAGCCTTGTATGCACATATGAATAATAAAAGAAAAATGAAAAAAAAAAAAAAACAAGAACTGACCATATTTAACCCAGGAGAGATGGAGGAGTAGTAGAGAACAAATTCAACACAAAAGGGTAAACAAGTGAGTGAATGCCAGGAAGGAAAAAAACCAAAGAATTTCTAAAGGAAGAGAACCACCTTCAAGGAACTACCTATGGCTTAAACTATGTTACTTTTTCTGTGAATCTTCTTCATTGTTTACTCTGAGTTTCAACTTTTTCTGTTTCCTTTTGCTTTGTCTTTAACAATGTCAGCAAGCTGTTTATACTACAACTCATTCATTGTTCTTTCTCATGAACATAAAACAATTATGGCTCTGAACTTTCAGGCTGCAGTTTGAAGCAGCTTAATGAGGTTTTATCACAGACAAAGGAAAATGCCAGTTATGAATCCCACGGGTCATACAATGGCAATGGGAAAAACAGATTTAAGACACTTAAGATTCTCATTTTATTCCCAGCTCATGCTTGTGTCTAAATTGGCAAGAGGCAAAAGCAACCAGCACTTAAACTCTGCTGCAGGTCTGATTAACACACAGTTGGGAATCCTAGCTCTGATACAGCTCAGCAGGTTAAGCTCCATTCTATCCTGATTGAATCTTTTTAAAACTAACTGAATCTCAAAATCTTTGCCCACCCTTGCCACATCTTACCTTAACAACAAAATCAAACTCAGAGATCTTTTAAAAGCTTGTAGAAAGCTGTTTGAAGAGGGCTTTTTAAGAATTCTAGCAGTTGTACCTTAGTTCAGCTGTGATGGGTTCTGATATATATCTTCATCCAATCCTAAGGACTTCCTTTCTCCCTTCTGTGCCCTTCACTCCCTTGCAGATAACTTGATCAGTAAATACAAGCAAGCCAGAATCAAGGGGTTTTCTAAAAGTTCACACAGTAAACTGAAAGTAAGAAGCAAATTCAGCAAACAGGTAGTTATTAAGGGGATTTCCTGAGTGTTGCCTGGTTGGATGCATTTGGCCTGATTTTTCAGAACTGCATGTTGTTACTGAAAGAGAGCTTTGACATCTTTTGCAATGTTGCCAAGTGCCTGTTAGTTTTCTTCCATTTGGAAGCACACACGCTTTGAGTGAACACCTCACATACTTTTGAGGACTAATTTTCTGAAAGGTCACAGTGTGCTCACAGAGAAAGGCTATCTCATCTGTCTTCCTGTTTGAGATGTTAACAATGATTATCATTACCTATGGTAAAACATTTGTTGTTCTAAACCACTATATTTGGGGATAATTTTTAAAGTGCAATATATAACCAGAACACTAGTGGTTGTAATTTACCCTGATTGCAATGAAAATCTAGAGTTACTTTGGCATTGTGGAGGTATGGAGGTGCATAGTGGATTCCCAGGGAATTACTTGTGGTTCATGTTCAGCTAAAACAGCAACACCTCAGTTAAACAAAATCAATATTCCTCAAAAGGTTCCCGTGGAACTGAATAGCTGTGTCACAGCAGTGTCCCACTGATACCCAATTCTCTTATCAACTTTCGTTCTTTTCCTATTAACTCTATCCCACATGCCTGCACTCTGTGATCATGTTCTCAAGTAGACCTGAAAACAACCCTTCTTTTCAGGGTCTGTTTTGGGGAACTAAAATGAATAAAACACATTTTTAATATCCTAGATATCAGACTATCCACATTATATCAGGTTTCTCAAAATGATCTTATAATATTCTCTTATACCTACTCTACTTTTGGCTCCAGGTTTCTTTAACTTCTAGTAGCAGTGGTGTTCCATATTGGATACATATGTACCTATTTACCCAATATGGGTACAGAGGAAGTGACAGCTCTATCTTTACATAGATCCAGACTTTGACCACATTCCAGCACATTTTCTGCTATCTTCCAGTGTCACCATCATCTCTAGTGGAGATGATGGGAGGAAACACCAGTAGTTCTTTCTGCATCTTTCCTTTTTCTCTTTTCCCCTTTTAATATCCTTTGTGGTCCTTTTTGCAATGTAGTTTGATTTTATAATTTTAGTATCCCAGGTACCCAAATTACTTCCCTCCTTTTAAGAACCAGTTTTAATGTTGACTCAATAAATCTGGTTCCTCCTCTCCAGCTCACCTCATCCCTACTCACTCTCCTTAGTGTCCCTTGTATGTGCCAAGGGTGCTCTCAGTCAAAGACATTGAAGTCCTAGAAACTTCAAAGATCTCCCTTCATTTATGCATAGTTACTCCTTTTCTTTCAAATTTTTGTTACAATGTCATTGGTCTTTAATTACTTTTTTTAAAACTTTTATTTATTTTTAGGCAGGTGCTCTAGCAGTTGAGCCACTGCCTCCAGTCCTATAATACCTTCTTTGATCACTAACTTTAATGGTAAAACTTGGATCCTCTGACTCAAATTTTCTTATTTCCCCTACCAAATTCTTGCACAAGACTAATCATCTGATGACTTTTTACTGCGTATTCTGTGAATTTATTTTCTCTCCTTCCATTAGAATATTTCATGGGATTGATATTTGTACATTTTTTGGTTTAATGCTGTATTCTACAACTGTAAATGCTCTATAGTATAACATATACATTTAATAATTA